GCCCCAGCCCTCTGAGGGGAGGGGTGTGGCTGCACCCTCTCTCCTGGTCTGGTGAGGGTCTAGGTTCCTGGTCTCTGCTGAATGGAGGGCGGCCTTCTTGCCTCTCTCTGTTAAAGATGACACTGAGCTGAACTGTGTCTCCTCATCCCTGGCGAAAGGTTATCGCTTACTTAGTCCGGGAAACGGGAAAGGTCGGGGTGTGCGGGCCATGCCCGTCTCGCCTCTGCTGGAAGAGATAAAGGAGGTCACTTGTTCCTCCACAACAGGATGGGGGGGCTGGGTGTATAAATGGGGGGCCAGGAAGCAGCAAAGGCACTGACCACTGGGAACCTGCCTTGCTGTGCCCACTCTCGCATCCCAGGCCTCCCTGTCCAGCATGGCCAAGCACCCACTGCTGCTGCTGCTGGCCGTGTGGGTGCTGGCCGGGGGGCTGTGGCTGGAAGCCGAAGCCCGGGGAGCACCCTATGGGGTGAAGCTTTGCGGCCGGGAATTCATCCGAGCAGTCATCTTCACCTGCGGAGGCTCCCGATGGAGGCGGTCGGACAACCTGCCCCAGGAAGCTATGGGTGAGGCGCAAGGTAGTGGAAGGGAGGAAAGAGGGATACGGGACATGGGATGGGCCTAGAGACAGGGACAAAGATGAGACCAGGGGCCAGGGCAGGGGAGTCCCTGCTCACAACTTGCAGCTGAGGAGGCTGGCCCATCCTTGAGGCTGAGCCATTTAGCAAAACTCAAAGCTGGGATGGGGGTGGAGCCATCTCCACTGGCTAAGGGTTCAAGGGCAGAATGTTCTTTCTGGGGCACCTGCTATGTGCTCAGCCTTGCGCTGAGCAAGGCCGCTGCTTAAAGGACTCCAGGGGGACACCATTCGGAAGCTGACACTGAAGTATGTTCCAACCCCTTGGAGAAGGTGGTGTGAGGGGTGTGGGGTGTCCAAGGCTAGATTTTGCCACCTAGTGGGTGGCGCTCCCAGCAGGTTGCTTTTCCTCTCTGATCCTCTTTATCTGCAAATGGAAGGCAGTCCCTGCATCTCACAAGTTTGCTCAGTGGCAAAATTGAGTCATAACAGGTAAGGACACAGTCCAAGGAAGGCAGGAGGCCCAGTTTGGGCTCAGTCGGGGAGTAGGGGTCCAGGTTCCTGAAGGGCAGGGGCCTGGCAGAAAAAGAGATGTTGGTCATGATGATGATGATGTAAGTGTTGTCCTAGAAGACATGCCGTCTGGGCTCAAACAGCCGCTCTACCATTCCGTAGCTGTGTGTTCTTGTGCAGTTACTCCACCAAATCCAGCCTCAGTGATGTTCCCTGGGAAATGAGGTCATAATAACAGCACCCACCTCATGGGGGTGTCATTGAGAGGAATAAAGCAGTTTATCCACAAAAGCCCTTAAAACAATGTCTGGCACACAGTCAGTCCTCCATAAATGCTCAGGGCTATTTTGAGTGCTTATCATGTGCCAGACACAGGTCTAAGTGTTGTGTTTTTAATGGGTATTAATTAACTCAACCACTCTTTATGAAACACTAAATTCTTTTTTTTTTTTAGTATGTTTTTATTGATTTCAGAGAGGAAGGGAGAGGGAAAGAGAGATAGAAATATCAATGATGATGACAGAGAATCAATGATTGGCTGCCTCCTGTACGCCCCCTACTGGGGACTGAGCCCACAACCTGGGCATGTGCCCTTGACGGGAATCAAACATGGGATCCTTCAGTCCCACAGTCCGAGCCTCTATCCATTGAGCCAAACTGGCCAGGGCAAAACCCCAAATTCTTAGGAGTTATTATGTTCCTCACTTTGCAGAAAAGGACACTAAGAATCAAAGAAGTAAATTCACTTGCTCAGGATTATAACTTTGAGACACTGGTTTGAAGCTTAATCAGTCTGACTCCCAAACCCATGTTCTTAACCACCAGGTCCTCCATAAACAAAGAGTAAGGGAAAAGAAATGACAGGAAGGTCAAGCTCAGTGAGGTTGAATATTAAACCCATCAAAGCTGAAACCTAGGCCTGAGTGGAATCAAAACCTTTAACCAGGAGACCATGTCTCAAGAACAGAACAGCAGCTGGAACAAGCAGGAGCCATGACTCTGAGTGTGACAGAAGCTGGGTCCCAAGCATGAACTCTTCTCATCTTTTGCAGGGGATGCCTTCCCAGACACTGACCCCTATGCAGACAGCCAGCTGGAAGAGGCAGTAGGCTCCAGTGACTGGCTGGTCCTGACCAAGTCCCCCCAGCCTTTCTATGGCGGCCAGCCCAGCTGGCAGGGGACCCCTGGATCTCTGCGTGGCAGCCGAGATGTCCTGGCTAGTCTCTCCAGCAACTGTTGCAAGTGGGGTTGCAGCAAGAGTGAAATCAGCAGACTCTGCTAGACCTGGGGACTGGGCAGCCTGGGGTTACCAGGACCAATGCTGAGTACCTGTCTCTGGCCCCTCATACATTCATTCATCAGCAAGTCGTCGACGTCAGGCACTATGGACTCCAACGCAATTCCCTCAGATAACTGACCTTCGACCAGCCTCTCCTAACCCTGAGCAAGCTGTACCCCTACTTGGCCAAATGGTTGCCCCTGATGCTGACTCCTGCCCTCTCCCCAGCCCATATCATGCCTGTATCTGGATGGTACCCTCCCCTGTACAATGGAGCCCCTATCTACCCAACTGGCCACACTGAAGAAGCCTTTGCCAAAACTGTGACTCTCCTGCCCCAACTGTGGCCCTGCCCCCTAGCCAGCCCCAAAGATGCCCTTGGCCCAGCCCAGCCCTTGCCCACTCCCTTCCCCTGCTTTCTAGCCTCTCTCCCTCCCACGCCACCTGCTGGGGTCCTAAGGCTGTGGGCCCCAGGGTTGGGGTTGAGACCCCTTGGTTCCCTTCATATTCTGGGGTGGGAGGCCAGTAAGGGGGCAGATCAGAACCTTCTCCAACCGCAATAATAAAAGTTGCAAAGGTCTCTGCAGCGTGTGTGTGTTGTTGTTGGGGGGTAAGGGGGGCTCAGTTTCAGGGGAGTTAGGCTGAGCCCTCAGCCCTCTCCCGGGGAGGCCCCAGGTCGCCTCCCCCGGGGACCCTCAGTCTTGGGGAAGGAGCAGGGACCGCTGGGAGGGGTGGCTCCGCTTCTCATCTCCGCTGGGGCGCTGGACCCGGAGAACAATGCGGTTGGGACTCAGTAGGGGCCCTGGGGGACCGGAAGGCGCAGGGGCCCCCATGAGGGGGGCCAGGGGCGCGCCCTGCCGGCTGCTGCCTCTGCTGTTGCTGCTGTCCCAGCGGACAAGTGTCCAGGGTGAGTTCCGGGCCGAGCTCGCGCGGGGCGCTCTACCGCGCGCTCAGTCTTAAAGCGCGAATTCTCCAGGGCGAACGCCAGTTCGTGGATGAATGACAGAGGTCCGGACCCCACTCTGCTGCGCCCTGGGCAGGGACAGGGCGCAGAAAGGAGTGGAGAGCGCGAGGCAGGGGGTGGAAGTCAGCCCCGGGGTGGGGGCTCTTGGGGTGGTAACAGGATGTGGTGGTAGAGGGGGGAGGAGTTATGCCCAAAGCCTGGGTGGGGGTGCCCAGCGCCCCCTCCCTGCTGCTCACTTGCGAAAGGGACCCCATAACCCTCCAGGATGATCAGAACTTGGGGCGGTGGGTTCTGGGCAGTGAGGAGGCGGGGGATTGACCCCTCCCCTCCCTGGGACCCTCGCCCTCTTCCAGGCAGCCCGGGGCCCCTGCGGTGCTATGGTGTTGGGCCCTTAGGCGACTTGAACTGCTCCTGGGAGCCTCTTGGGGACCTGGGAGCACCCTCCACGCTGCACCTGCAGAGCCAGAAGTAGTGAGTACAGTGGGGTGGCTTGGGGACACTGAGACTTTGGAGGGGTGGCCGCTCAGGTCCCCGCATTCTCCAGGTGAGAGGACCCAGGAGTCCTGCCCCCAGTCCTCCCCCCCAGCTCTTAAATCCAGGTCCCCTCCTTTCCTGGCTGCAGGACCCCAACCGGTCCCCTTCCCTCTCTGAGACCCCTTTGCTCCTCTATTATCAAGCCATCATGAGTGACACCTGCCTCCCAGGGCTGGCTCTGAGGACCCCATGAGGGAGGCACCTGGCAGAGAAGGTGCTGAGTGATGATAAGCTGTTTTAGTTGCTGGGTGTCCACTTAAGGCCTCTGAGCTTATGCAGAGACCATTGGGCCGGGTGCTGGGATGCAGCAGTGAGAGACCAACAGCAAGCCTGGTCCTCCGGGCCCAGGGGCCACTACCTGCCTTCACAATGACTCACACCTGGAAACTCACAGTCATTTCAGGTTTGGCTAAGTGCACAGAGAGGAAAACGAGCCGCTTTTTCCATTTAAAAAAAAATTTTTTTGCCGAAACCGGTTTGGCTCGGTGGATGGAGCGTCGGCCTGCGGACTGAGGTGTCCAGGGTTCGATTCTGGTCAGGGGCATGTGCCTGGGTTGCTGGCACGTCCCCAGTGGGAGATGTGCGGGAGGCAGCTGATCGATGTTTCTCTCTCATCGATGTTTCTGACCCTCTGTCTCTCTCCCTTCCTCTCTGTAAAACATCAATAAAATATATTTTAAAAAATATTTTTAAAATTGATTTTTAGAGCGAGAGGAAGAGGAAGAAAGAGAGAGAGAGAAATCAATGTGAGAGCAGAACACCGATAGGCTGCCTCCTGCACCCCCGACCCCAACTGGGGATCAAGCCTGAAACCCGGGTATGTGCTCTCACCAGGAATCCAACAAGCAACCTTTTGGTGCATGGGATGAGCCAGCTGAGACTCACAAGGCCAGGGCTTTGTTTTTTTAATGGTGGTAAAATACACATAGAAAACTTACCATTTTTTTCAAAAAAATATATATATATATTTCTATTGATTTCAAAGAGGAAGGGAGAGGGAGAGATGGAAACAGCAATGATGACAGAGAATCACCTACTGGCTGCCTCCTGAAGGCTCCCTACTGGGGATCGAACCTGCAACCCGCAACCTGGGCATGTGCCCCGAATGGGAATTGAACCCTGATCTCCTAGTTCATAGGTCAGTGCTCAACCACTGAGCCACGCAGTCTGGGCATCTCAACTACTTTTTTAAATATGTTTTTATTGATTTCAGAGAGGAAGGGAGAGGAAGAGAGAGATGGAAACATCAATGAT